GTGTGTGTCTAACCGTGTCCTTCTGTGTGTGTTTCTGTGTGTAAACTCGACTGGCACAGACGAAAGTGATTATAGGCCTATAAAAGTTCTGGGGAATGTTACTTTGTGTGTGTGTGCTTATGTTAGTCTGTGCTAGTGTACACACTCAAAGACACACACACGGAAAAAACACAAACACACAGAAACACATGCTCAAGAAAACACGGACACGGGCTGAGTCTGTGTTCGTGTGGTGTACACAAAAAACATACAAACACGGACACGGACTGTGTCAGTGTGTCCGTATGTGTCTGTGTGCGTGTGTTGTTGAATGTGTCTGTGTGTGTATGTGTTTGTGTCCGTGTCCATGTGCGTGTCTGTGTGCGTGTGTCGTTGTGTAACAACCATTTCGTCAAAACGGACATATTATATTTTTTTGAACGAAATCAAAACTGACTTTTTTTGCCAAAATCCGGACGGAATTTTTCGCTCCTGGGGGTCCGGCGTTCCCAAAACGCCGGACCTCCCTGGTCTATGGTTGAGACCAGATACAAAAAAAAAATTAAAAAAAATAAAAATGTTTTTTTTTTTTTTTTTTTTTTTTNTTTTTTTTTTTTTTTTTTTTTTTTTTTGATATGTGGTCTCGACCGTAGACCAGATAGATGTAGGGGGTCCGGCGTTTTGGGAATGTCGGACCCCTAGGAGCAAAAAATTCCGACTGGATTTTGGCAAAAAAAATCAGTTTTGATTTCGTTCAAAAAATATAATATGTCTGTTTTAACGAAATGGTTGTTGTGTGTGTCTATGTCCGTGTGTCTGTGTGTGTCTAACTGTGTCCTTGTGTGCGTATGTCTGTGTACGAACACGACTGGCGCAGGCGGAAGTGATTAAAGGCCTCTAATATTTTTGGGGCAATTTTTCGACACTTCAAGCCTGTGTCTTTATGTCTGTGTGTCTGTGTGCCTGCGTTCTTGTGTGTGTGCCTCTCTGTTTGTATGTGTGTCTGTGTCTGCGTGTCTGTGTTTACGTACTTGAGGCTGGTGGATCTAACCAATCAATCAATCAACCAATCATGTGTGTGTATATGCACATACGTGTGCGTCCGTGTGTGCATGTGGTGAGTTTTTTTTTTCCTTCTTGTTTTCCTTTCTTTCTAAGGTTGAAGACCCCAAACACAAACCGCAAACACTTGTCGTTAGCTCATCGTCCCTAACACAAAGACCCTAACACAAAGACCGAGACCTGCCAGTAGTTGTGCCTCCCTTTCTCATCGTCCCCCACCCTTCCGCGAGTAGCAGTAGAGGCTGACCGAGAGCTGCCAGTAGCTGTGCCGCCATTTCTCATCGTCCCCCACCCTTCACCGAGTAGCAGTAGTGGCTTTGGCCAAGACTCTCGCACACACCACACACAACCCACTCGCACTCACACTCACACCCGTGCTGGTCATAGACCCCGCTAATACCAATCAGGGGTATCCAGAGGACTATCATAGTCCGTTGGCACTAAGTGCGCCGCAGGCGGCCATGTTCAGCAGCTAGGTGAAAACCAAGATCTTCGAAAACTAATTTTCAGGACTGAAAATCAATTTTGAGTTAACAAAAATACCCTTAGCAAAAAATATTTGTTATTTTAAGTAAGAATACAATCAACTTTTGCCAGGGAGGTACACTAGCTCAGGTTTGAGAGAATATGTCCCAGAACATGTTTGAGCGTTCGAAAACCCCCGAATACGTTTATATCTGTTTGTGTGCGCGTGGTTGTTCGTGTCTATGTGTGTGCCTGTGTGTGTGTGTGGCAGGCAAGGCAAAGGTGTTTTGGGACCACTTTCAGGCCTTTGTCTTTATATGTTTCTGTGTGTCTGTGTTTGTGTGTGTGGCTGCAAGTGTGTGCGCAGTTGTGTGTGTCTGTCTGTGTGTATGTGTACCTGTGTGTGCGTGTGTCTGTCTGTTCTTGTATGTGTGGTTGTGTGCGTCTGTGCCTGTGTGTGTTTGGTTGTGTGTGTGTGGTTGTGTCTGTCTGTGTATGTCTAACTGTGTCCTTGTGTGCGTGTGTTTGTCTGTAAACTCGACTGACACAGATGAAAGTGATTAAAGGTCTTTAGTGATTACAGGCCTATAACACTGTTTTGTTAGCCCGAGACACCTTTTACGAGAGAGAGAGAGAGAGAGAGAGAGAGAGAGAGAGAGAGAGAGAGAGAGGGTGGTTGTCCACCCAAAGGTAAGTGAACAAGAACTCACGAATGAAAATAAGAGGGTTATCAAAATTAACCTTTAGAAAAATAGAAAAGTTCGACAAAACAACTGAACCAAATCCGACAAAAGAAGTAAACCAGAAATGGTCCACTGAGTCATTCCACATGTAAACTAAAGTACCACAATGCACCGAAAGCTACCACACCTGTGACGAGTGCCCCCTGGGTGGACCTCCCCAGGCCTCGTTCCCAGTAATGATGACACTCTCAAAATTATCAATGGAGCACATGGCTCCCAATACAACGGAACACATGGTTTCCAGTACAACAGAACACATGGTTCCCAGTACAACGGAACACGTGGTTCCCAATAATGATGACACTCTCAAAATTGTCGACCTATTGGGGTCTGACCCACGAACCGAGTGCGCCTGGTTCCCACTTCCACGACCTAAAAATGAAAGAGCTAGCCTACTCTACGCAATAACAATTCTGCAAAAAAACGAAGCGATGTGCCCTCGTTCCTCTAAATGGCTATAATACGCAACGGAACACATGGTTCCCAGTAATGATGCCACTCTCAAAATTGACAACCTATTGCGGTTCGAACCACGAACCGAGTGCGCCTGGTTCTCACTTCCATAACCTAAAAAACAGAAAGCTAGCCTACTCTACACAATAACAATTCTGCGGAAAACGAAGCCATGTGCCAAACCACATAGCTCCAACCACGAAGGGACGACGACCAATCCTGGGAGAGGCATCCAGGCAAAGCAGCACACATTCCGACGACGCATGGGCGACGATCAATCCCGGGAGGGATGCAGACAAAGCAGCACACACCGGGGGAGACTCATATACGAATAAGGCTTGGTTTCTCTTCTCGCACCAATTGCGAGAGGTGCAATCCTTGCTACATGGACTGTTGTCGATCCTGCTTCGGCTCTTTGACGGGAACGCACCAAGCAAATCATTATTCGGCATCAACAAATGGCAACTCCTAGATCACAAACCACTGGAATCCTCATAGGAGACTCGTGAACGAATAAAGTTTGGTTTCTCCTCTCGCACCAATTGCGAGAGGCGCAATCCTTGCTACATGGATCGTTGTCGATCCTGCTTCGGCTCTGTGACCGGAATGTACCAAGCAAATCATTGATCGTCGCCAACAAACGACAACTCCTGGACCTTTTGTCATGGTTGCGGGCAATCCGTGGTTTGAGGCTACTCATGGTGAAAAAAACAAGCGAAAGGAGAAGACGTGACCAAGACGGGAGAATCGGCAGAACACGAGAGCGACTTGAGGCCACACATTCAATATAGGCCTATATGTAAAACGCGTGTCCACACATGCAATATAGGCCTACATTGCATGTGTGGTTGGAGGCCACACATGCAATATAGGCCTGTATCGAAAGTGCGTGTCCACACATGACATATAGGCCTATATATAAAGGATACGGTGTGGCCTCAGTCACTTCGCAGTCCGTGAGCGAGTATTGGCCTTGAGGCCAATCGCTACCCCACCCTGCGGACTCGACATCTCTTCACCGCCTGCCTTTCGTTTGCGCCCCTTCCTGCCGCCAACCGTGGTCCTGCTCGATTCCTGGCTCATGGCGAGGCTCAAGACACTCTGCTGAGCATTTGCAGCAGCGGGAATAAGCCCGAACGCAAGTTGTGTCTCAGCCTCTGGTCTAGCTTCAAGAACAACGTTGGGAACAGGCATGGAAGCAGGCACGGGTCTACCCTCACCGGGAGAGGCACAGCGAAAGCGGGCTCAACACCGGTAACGGTTTGCTCCACGCCGGACGGGCCGGCAACAACCTCGGCAGTGGGCAAACTCGCACCTGACGTCCCGACAACGACAGCCTCAGCGTTGTCCGCCACTCCAGCAGCAGTGCCCGTGTTTTCGTTGGGCACGAGTTCATTTTCGACAAACTTCGTATCCCCGGACAACTTAGAGGTCGGGCTGCCCTGTGCGACATTTTCTTTCCGCTTTGGCGTTTCACGCGCAAGTGTGCCGCCGATGTCTGTCAGAAGCCTCGTGGCGATGCCCTTAGCGCACTTGGTGTTTATCTCCACCACAAGGCAATTTCGATTTGCCTTGATGCACGCTATGGCGCCTGTGCTGGAACCGGAGAAACCATCCAGAACGCAGGCCCCTGCGGGAGAGAATTTGTTCACAAGCCAGGAGTACAAAGTATACGGCTTCTGGTACGGGCAGAGAACACTGCCACCAGGGTGCTGGTACTTCTGCGTCACAGCATTGAAGAGCTGAAAATTGTGACACATATCAGTGGGATCAAAATTGTAATGCGCCATCTCGCGTTGCCCACTCTCACTGTAATAGCCCAGCACACAGAATTCAGTCGCACTCACAAGCCGAGGCCCACCCGGAATCATCACATTAGGCTTGCACCACGTCAAAAGTTTCTGCCCTGCACTGCAAACCTCCCGGAACGTGAAGCGGATGAAAGGAAGCATATCCACGGAACATAATCCCGCAACTGTCCACGACGGGGCACTGGAAACGTCCTTCAGATTGTGAAGAACCTCCACAACGTCCGACTCCAGAAAAGGCTCATTATCAGATGCGTGACCCTCGTGCGCGAACCCGTAAGGGAAGTCGAAAATAGCCAGAGATATCGACAACTTTTCAGTCTGCAGCTTGGACAATTAGCGCATGTCGCCATTGATAATTTTCACTTCCGCCGAGTCGTTGTCGTGTGTCACCTTCGTCCAGTCGATGAACGGTTCCACAAGAGGTTTGGAACGGAACGAGTGAATAACGTTCTTTGCTTGCAGTCTCCTCTCCTTGTTCTTCCATTCAGTAGCCCGTTTAATATGGCCATCTAGTGCAGGGATACTCGCCTGACCCCTTCTGATGCCACCAACGAACTTCTACAAAAGCTCTTTCTTCGTGTGGAGAGGATACTCCTTCTCGACCTCCTTGAAGTTAGCAGCGCCCAACCCCACTGCGAATGCCTTGCAGACGTAGGCGATTTGCTTGACAAGCTGAAACTTCTTCTCCATCTCCTTGAGCGAGATCTGCTTCGCAATGACCTCAAGGAGGATAGGGACGGCGTTCTCTGGAGCCATACTACCCATGGCTATCCAGTGTTGCGCTGGCATATCCTCGGCAACCATGGGGACCTTGTTACCCTGCAGTTGCACCCGAGGATAAAGAAGCGCCATTTCTTGTTCCTTCGCAGCCGCCATATCAAGCCTCTTCCCATGCTGGCTTTTCTTCGCGCCGTCAAACTCGCTCGTTTCCAGATCCTGGTCCGCTTTCAAGAAGCTCCTCGCAGCCAACTTCAGTTTTTGGCCTTTGACCTCGCCCTTCTGCCACGTGCTCATGATCTTACACATGAGCTCCCAAATCTCTTGGGGTTAGAAAACACACTGCAGCAACGGGTCTTGTGCGTTCAATTTCTTTGCCGCGTTCTGAATCCCTGCTTCTTTCAGGCAAGCGAGCTTCACTTCTTGCGACTTGACGCACCCCCTGCTCTCAAAGACTTGGCACCAGCACCTGAGCTTCTCGATGAAGCTCAAGTCCCTGTGGTAACCCGCCGCAAGGTTATGCCTGTGGGCAACCTGCCTCGCCTCATCGATCTTGAGGCCAACGTAAACATAGCAGACATTGTACTGATACTCCTCGTTGTCGGGGTTCATGCGTGCTAACCGCTCCCTCGCTTTCCGACTGTGGCCATCACCAAGCACAAAAATGTCATAGTCTTCTTTGCGCCCGGCCTGGGCAGGGTCGACGAGGCCAACGAAGGGAAGATGATCTCCAGTTGGCTGCTTCAACATGGAGTCCATGATGGACTTCACATGGTCCTCGTCCGACTCTCTCACCTCCATTGGTATTTTCCCATTCACCAGGGGTGGCCTCTTCAAACATCTCATCGGCAGCAAAAAGGACTCGTGTGAAAGTTTCTTCTCCTTCAAACTTTTGAACTCCTCCCAAGTTTTTGTCAAATCTTCCATGCGCTCATTCGACAAGAAACCTTGGGGTACTTGGAGTTCCTCTCCCCTTCCCTTCCCCTCCCGTTGCCCTTCCGGATGAGGCGGACCCGGCATGACTGTTTTCTTCCCACGAATCTTCCCGGAAATCGTCTTTGTGCCGGATCCCCTTTCCAGACTACCGGAAGACCCGACAATGGTTTGAGGAGAAATCACATCTTTGGGGCGCTGCGACCTCGCTTTCGAGCCACCCTTCGTGACCATCGTCGTCATGGTCGTTGGAGTTTGTGATTTTTCTGTTTCCTCTGCATACTTTAAAGGAAGAAGCTTCTCGTCCAAATTTGCCCGTAAGAACTCAGAAAGTCCTTCCACGAACGGCTGCGCAACACATTGGAAGCAGAAGAAAAAACAATGGTCGACCAAGTGTGTCAGAGAAACTTATAGGCCTATAACACATACTTAGAGCAACACTGCGTACGACAAGTGCAATATAACAACGCAAATGTGAAAAAAGTATTCCAGGCCTGCAACCTGAAAGAGTCAAACTTCTAGAAGTGAGGAAGACGCACTCAATGTTATAGGCCTATAACTTCCCAGAAACAAGGAAGACGCAGTGAAAGTTACATGCCTATAACTCTCGGAAACGCCATGGAAGTTATAGACCTATAACTCTCGGATACGTTGTGAAAGTTTTATGCTTATGCCTTCCGGTTACGTCGTGGAAGTTATAGGCCTATAACTACCGGATACGCCGTGGAAGTTATAGGCCTATAACTACCGGATACGCCGTGGAAGTTACAGGCCTGAAAATGAAGATCTACGACTTCAAAGAAACAGAATGAAACTTGCAGCTCTGCAACTTCTTGCAAAGAGAGATATGCAGTGGGAATTAGGGGAGATGAGAGCATTTACCATGCAACCAATCTTGTTTAATGCCGACAATTTCCTGTTTTGGATGGGCATCTTCATGGGCATTAATTTATCCCCCTTCAACAGACATTTCGTGAGCTTACCCTTGATAACGACCCATAACTCCGCGATGAGATATTTTTCCGTCACGTGCGCTGCAAATAAAATTTCGCCGATTTGTACATAGACACTGTTGCCGCTGGTCTTGACGTGAAGATAAGCTAATCCAGTTGTGACATACATGACCCAAAAGAAGTACTTGAAGTCGCTGCGAACAGGCCTCGACTCGAGGAACTCTCTATGCCACCTGCCGTCCTCCTCCATTGGATCTTCATCCTCGTCCTCTATTTCTTCTTCTCCTCCTTCTTCTTCTTCTTCTTCTTCTTCTTCTTCTTTTTCTCCTCCTTCTTTTTCTTCTTCTTCTTCTTCTTCTTCTTCTTTTTCTCCTCCTTCTTCTTCTTCTTCTTCTTCTTGTTCTTCTTCTCCTTCGCCTCCTCCTTCCTCTTCCTTTTCCTCTCCCTCTCCTTCCTCTCCCTCTCCTTCCTCTTCCTCTCCTACGCCTCCTCCTTCCACGAACTCTCCTTCTTCTAAAACATATTCTTCCTCATCTCCTTCTCCCATTTGGGAAAAATCATCCTGCTCTGCTGGTCACCTTTGCCGCACAACCCCTTCAGAGCACGCCGGCTGCCCCCAAGAAGACACTTTGCCGGTTTTTCTTGCACTCCTCCCCTTGCTCGCACCCCTCGCGCCTCGGGATGTCTTCATCGTCACGAATGGACTGCACGCAAAGAGGCCTCCAAAACAAATGTCAACCACGGTAAGACTGGTTACAGGGCCCTAACACCCCTGCTTGTTTTTCCCGTATGTCTCTGTGCCGGTGTGTGTCTGTGTGCGTGTCAGTGTTCGTGTGTCTGTGTGCGTGTCAGTGTTCGTCTGTCTGTGTGTGTCTCCCTGTGTCTGTGTGTAAAGACGACTAACACAAGTGTCTTTTTGTGTGTGTGTCTGTGTGTGTCGCTTTTCGTGTGTGTGTGTGTCTGTGTGTGCGTTTGTGCCTGTGTGCGCGTCGTTGTTTGTGTCTGTTTGTGTCTGTCTGTGTGCCTCTGTGTGTGTGGCAGGCAAGTCAAAGGTGCTTGTCGGCCATAAGCACTTTTGGGACCACTTCCAGGCCTTTGTTTTATGTGTGTCTATGTGTCTCTGTTTGTGTGTATGGCTGTCTTTGTGTGTGTGTATGTGTGTCTGTGTGCCTCTGTGCCTCTTTATGTGTGGCAGGCATGTGTTTGCGTGTGTGTGTGTGTGCGTGTGTGTATCTGTGCGTTCTTGTGTGTATGGTTATGTGCGTCTGGGGAAACTGATTGACAATACAAGCCTGTGTCTTTAGGCGAGAGTGATTTAATGCCTGTGCTGGTTCTGGGGAAACTTTTTGATAATACAAGCCTGTTCTTGTGTTCGTGTGTGTGTCTGTGTGCCTGTGTTCTTGTGGGTGTGTCTAACAATGATTATAGGCCTGTGATTTTCTTGGGGAAACTTTTCAGCACTTGAAGCCTGTGTTTTTGTATGTGTGTCTGTGTGTGTCTCTGTTTGTGTGTGTGTGAGTTTATGTCTGAATGTCTGTGTGCCTGTGTTCTTGTGGGCGTGCCTATGAGTGTATGTTTGTGCCTTTATGTGTGTGTGTGCGTGTGTGTCTGTGTGTGTCTAACTGTGTCCTTGTGTGTGCGTGTGTGTGTGTGTGCGTGTACCTGTGTTTGCGTGTGTGTGTGCGTGTGTGTCTGTGTGTGCGTGTACCTGTGTTTGCGTGTGTGTGTGTGCATGTGTGTGTGTGCGTGTTTGTCTGTGTGTGTCTAACTGTGTCCTTGTGTGCGTGTGTCTGTGTGTGAACTCGACTGCCACAGACGAAAGTGGTTATAGGCCTACAATAGTTCTGGGAATGTGCTTGCGTTAGTCTGAGGCACTGTGCACAGACAGACACAGGCACGAAAACAGACACAAAAAGACATACGCACACAGACACGGGCTGAGTTTGTGTTTGTGTGCGGTGCACAAAAAGACATACGGACACAAACACGGATTGTGTCAGTGTGTCTGTGTGTGCCTCTGTTCGTGTGTGGCCGTGACGGTGTTTCTGTGCGTGTCTTTGTCGTTGTGTGTGTCGGTGTCCGTGTATCTGTGTGTGTCTAACTGTGTCCTTGTGTGTGTGTGTCTGTGTGTAAACACGAGTGGCGCAGACGAGTGGTTAAAGGCCTATACTGGTTCTGGGAAAACTTTTTTGTCACTACAAGCCTGTGTCTTTATATCTGTGTGTGTCTTTGTGCCTGTGTTCTTGTGTATGTGTCTACAAGTGATTAAAGGCCTGTGATTTTTCTTGGGAAACTTTTCAGTACTTCAAGCCTGTGTTTTTGTGTGTGTGTCTGTGTGTGTGTCTGTGTTCTTGTGTATGTGTCTACCAGTGATTAAAGGCCTGTGATTTTTTTTGGGAAACTTTTCAGCACTTCAAGCATGTGTTTTTGTGTGTGTGTCTGTGTGTGTGTCTGTGTGTATGTCTGTGTGTGTGTCTCTGTGTGTGTCTGTGTGTGTCTCTGTTTGTGTGTGTGTGTGTCTATGTATGAACGTCTGCGTATATCTGTGTGCCTGTGTTCTTGTGTGCATGCCTGTGAGTGTATGTTTGTGCCTGTGTCTGTGTGGCGGCCTCGGGCCGAAAAATATGCGAAGGTGCTTGTAGGCCTTAAACAGTTTTGGGACCGCTTCCAGGCCTCTGTCTTTATGTGTGTCTGTGTGTCTGCTTGTCTGTGTGTCTGTGTTTGTGTGTGTGGCTGTCTGTGCGTGTGTGTGTGTCTGTGTGTGCGTGTACCTGTGTTTGCGTGTGTGTGTGTGCGTGTGTGTCTATGTGTGTGTGTGTATCTGTGTGTTCTTGTGTCTGGTTGTGTGCGCCTGTGCCTGTGTGTGTTTGGTTGTGTTTGTGGTTGTGTTTGTCTGTGTGTGTCTAACTGTGTTCGTCTAACTGTGTCCGTCTAACTGTGTCCTTGTGTGCGTGTGTCTGTGTGTGAACTCGACTGCCACAGACGAACGGGGTTATAGGCCTATAACAGTTCTGGGAATGTGCTTGCGTTAGTCTCTGCCGCTGTGCACAGAAAGACACAGGCATGGAAACAGATACAAAAAGACATACTCACACAGACACGGGCTGAGTCTGTGTTCATGTGCGGCGCACAAAAAGACATACGAACACAGACACGGATTGTGTCAGTGTGTATGTGTGTGCCTCTGTCCGTGTGTGGCCATGACCGTGTTTCTGTGCATGTGTCTGTGTGTGTCTTTGTCGTTGTGTGTGTCGTTGTCCGTGTATATGTGTGTGTCTAACTGTGTCCTTGTGTGCGTGTGTCTGTGTGTAAACACGAGTGGCGCAGGCGAAAGTGATTATATGCCTATACTGGTTATAGGGAAACTTTTTGTCACTACAAGCCTGTGTTTTTGTGTTTGTGTGTGTCTGTGTGCCTGTGTTCTTGTGTGTGTGTCTACCAGTGTGCGTCTGTGTTTATCCCTGTTTGTGTGTCTGTCTGTGTTTGCGTGTCTGTGTGTGTTGTGTAAACACGACAGTTTGTGCGTGTGTGTGTCTATGTCTGCATGTCTGTGTATGTCTGTGTGTTTGTGTTCTTCTGTGCATCCCTGTGAGTGTATGTTTGTGCCTTTGTGTGTGTGACGGCCCCCTTTCTCCCAGTGCTTCGAGGTTTGATTTTTGCAAAGACTTTGGTCTTAGCATGGGACGTTGGACCCGGTTTTCAAAACAGTAGCCGGGATGGACCTGGAATAGAGGTAGGTCAGCGAGCTTGCATTGTAAGCAAAACTGGCTGATGCTGCCAGGGTAACTCCGGGTTGAATTGTGAGGTCCCCAGCCTCGTCCCAGGTTTTCGCTGTAATGAAATACTGAATATTCCCCCCCCCCCCCAAAAAAAAAACGTTCGTACCTTGTTTTCGGGTTGAGATGGTAGGGTGCCCGACATCCGCTAATGATTCCCTTTCCTTCTTAGTTGATTGATTGATTGATTGATTGATTGATTGATTGATTGATTGGTTGATTGGTTGATTCGCTGGACCCTCGGCTTCTCCGGCCTTCCCCCGCCTTCTCCGAACTTCCTCCGATATTCCCCACGCCCCCTTCCCCCCGCCGACACTTGAAATTCACTGGAACCCCGCCTTTCTCCACCTTTCCCCTTCCTTCCCGCCGCCTTTCTCCACCTTCCCCCTGCCTTTCTCCGCCTTCCCCCCGCCTTTCTCCCCCTTCCCGCCGCCTTCCCCCC